GAGGTGCACGCCGACACTTCAACGGCGATGCTCAGGTCAAAGATTTCATACACACATTGTTACATTACGGTGGTTACAACGAAATGGCCGATATTCTTGTGAATCTGACGTCTCTCGCAACGGAGATGGGTCGATTGGTATCGGAAGGTTACGTACTCACCGTGTTAGCTCCTAACGACGAAGCTATGGCGAAATTGACGACGGATCAGTTGAGTGAACCGGGAGCTCCGGAGCAAATCGTGTATTACCACATTATACCGGAGTATCAAACGGAGGAGAGTATGTATAATTCTGTTAGGAGATTTGGGAAAGTGAAGTACGAAACGCTGCGTTTTCCTCATAAGGTGGCGGCTAAGGAAGCTGATGGTTCGGTTAAGTTTGGTTCCGGTGACCGGTCTGCTTATCTGTTTGATCCGGATATTTATACGGACGGTCGGATTTCGGTTCAGGGGATTGATGGTGTTTTGTTCCCGGAGGAGGAGGAGACAACGGTTAAGAAACCGAGTAGTACGAAGAAAGTTGTTCAACCAAGAAGAGGTATGTTTAATTGATCTTTTGTTTGATTGAATATGTGTGTTAATGGTTTATAGATTCAGGTTTTGGCGAAGTTATGATAATTCAACATTAGTTATTGGTGAATTGATCTAATGTAGCTTGATCGAGTTTCTTACATCATTAGCATTGTGTCTAACTAGGCTTGAAATTGTGTCATCATGTTCAAGCTCAATTTCTCGCCCGAATTTCAAATGGAAATGAAACGGGACATGATTATGATCGTGTTTAGGGATGTAAGTAGTATTTCTTGTGATCAAAGTTATCGTGAATTTCGATTTTTAGAATCATGTACTAAAAGTAAAGACTGGTGAGGATATTGGAAGATATCAAACAGAAGAAAGAATCATAAGAAGCTTCTTCACATAACCTAAAGCATCTTCCCACGTTTCCAAAACTTCAATTATTATAGTATTGGTTAGATTATTGGGTTTTAGCTTTTTTCTACTAAAGTCTAATTACAGAAATATTTTAATTAGGTGACAGGAGATAGTGATTGGAATTGATTGATTGTGATCATGACCTAATAACTAAAGTTCTTTATTTAATTAATCAACAGGGAAGTTGCTGGAAGTAGCATGTAGAATGCTTGGAGCTATTGGCAAGGACTCATATTTTGGCAAATGCTGATAAAACTCACAAACGCCGAAGAGATTATTATTAAAGAAAAAAATCTCTGAAGTGTTATCTGTAAACACATACAAAAGGTTAGAATTCGCGGTAACAATTTCTCGATAATTGATCGGTTCGAGTGATTGATAAAAATTGAGGATAATCATAGTTGTTGTGTTTTTGCAGGTTCTTAGGAGAAGAATGAAGAATTGAAAGAAGATAAAGAACAAACTAGAGAGGAACATCAAGTGTTCAGATCATACTTCAGTGAAATGTGATAGAGGGTTTGTTGGGTTTTACTTTTTATATATAAGAAATTATTTTTTGGGTGGGGGTTTTTAATTTTTGGGTTATAAAAATTGTAATTAGATATATGGACTCAATTTTTTTAATTGATTTGGTGTATGAAAAATGAATGATAAAAGTGGGAAACAAAAGAAAAAGTCTTGAGAACCCACCAGCATTTCTTCACTCGTAAGGATCTTCTTTTCTTTTTCTTTGGCATTTTATTTGTGAATTGGTTGGTAAATAAATTTCAGATTGATTGGGAATAATAACATCATTATCATTCATCAAGTAATTTGTACGTATAAGCTTCTTTCTAGGAATTTTATACTTGTATTTATGGTTTTATGTTCGATGTAATAACTGAATTCTTTCTGAATATTGTGTGGTAAGTAAATCCCCCCATTTGGGTTGGGTATAATAATATCATTACGATAATAGTGAAAGGTATGACTTTATTTTATTTTAACATTTAGCATATACAAAATATGAAAAAGTATTTGGTAGAGGCAATAATGAAACATGTGTTGGAGAGAAGAGATGAGTTGGCTTAAGGCTGTATTGTGTTGTGAGATATGATTATGATTTGAGACCCATTGCTAAAGCTTTCTGACTTTTTCTATGTGATCATATCATTCATCAAAATACATATTTGTTTTCTCGATCGACGACTTTTCCCCCCTTCAATCTTTGTAAATTAGCTGTAATCCTTTATCAAACACTATAACATTTCAGCCAAAGACAATATAAAATCATTTTTTAAGTAATTAGAAAAATACGCACTTAAATGCATCAAATAAGATTTTACATAATGGAGAGGACAAGAATTTTTCTTCTATTGTTTTGTTCCGGAGACAATACTCTTGATGATGATAATAGTGTTGAATGGTGCCAAAGAAAATGGCCCACAATAACACACTTAGAGAAACGACCTTGTAGACTCCATACCCCATAGTTTCCCTTATGTATGTTTAGGCAGGTAAGCTCATGTTATACACATGGAGAGTGATTAAAACGAAAAGATTAGAGCGAAAACACTAACCAATTTCCAAAAAGTCTTACAAAGGTAATTGATAATAGCTACTTGTTTTGTTGTAAAAAAAAAAGGTTGTTCGTACATCGCAAATAAAAGTAAGTTGAGAACAAGTTGTTGCATAATAGCAATTTGAATACCAAACTTCAAAAGCTTAGTCTGGCAAAAAGAGAAATGAAAACTGTGTTCTGCTCTCCTTAGTTCTCTGGTTGCAAAGGAGCTGCAAGAACAACAACAAAAAATAGCATAAAATGGCAATTCAATGGGAAAGATTACTGTCTATTACCAGTTAAATCGTACCTTTCGCGGCTGCTGAGTCGTCCTGTGGCCTCATTGCCGGGAAAAGAATAACCTCCTGCAACGGTATTTCAAATCATGAGTTAAGTCATGAAGATTATTAAATCATTCACAGAGATAAACTTTAAGGCAAGAGAGTGTGACCTTGATGTTCTGTGAGTCGGTAAAGAGCATAGTAAGTCTGTCTATTCCCAATCCCCAACCACCTGTCGGAGCCAATCCATACTCTAAAGCATTACAGAAAGTCTCATCTAATGCCATTGCTTCATCGTCTCCAGACTGTCGATCCTTGAGCTGATCAGCAAAACGCTGGCGCTGAACCACAGGGTCATTCAACTCGGTGTAGGCATTGCAGAGCTGCGATCAAGTTTATCATATGTTACTCAAACAGCTCTTAAGAAAGGATGTGTAATGGAATCAAATTCATCATTAGCTTTTTGCTTACTTCATGTTTGTTGATGAACAGCTCGAATCTCTCAGTCAAAACATCGTTAGATCTATGCCATTTCGCCAAGGGACTCATGATCTCGGGATGGTTGATGATGAACGTTGGGTTCACACATGTCACTTCCAGAAATTCTCCAACAAGCTGCAACAAAAAAAGCGACAAAGTTTCAGATTAAAATATCCTATCCTAGACGTCCCAGACACAGAAGAGAGACGGAGAATTTTACTTTGTCTAACAGACGAGCTGTAGTCTGAGGAGGAGGGCATTTCACGTCAAATCTCGCACAAGCATCAATCAGATATTTGTTCGCTTCTTCACTAGTTAAGTCTTTTGGTATACTGAGTTTAGCCACCTTCTCCAACTCACCGATCATTTCAATCCTCCTACAAAAAAAAATTATTAAATAAGCCCCTACGGAAAGCTGTACTATAAAGATTGTTGTTTAATCAATGAAGATATGGTTTCAAACCTGAATGGAGGAGTGAAATCGATTTCGATTGGCTCCTTATCATACCCATTAGCATGATACTTGATTTTGTAACCACCTGTTAATTCCTTGACCATGCCACTCAGCATATCTTCAGTCATTTTCATCAGATCGTTGTAGTCTGCGAAAGCCATATAGAACTCGCAGGTGGTGAACTCTGGATTGTGGGTCAGGTCAATACCCTCGTTTCTGAATTGCTTTCCTATCTCATAAACACGGTCCAAGCCACCAACAATAAGTTGCTTGAGAAAGAGTTCAGGTGCGATACGCATGTACAGCTTCATATCTAGATCATTGTGATGTGTCACAAATGGTTTGGCAGCTGCCCCACCAGCAATCTTGTTCATCATAGGTGTCTCAACCTAAAGAAAATGTAAGAATATCAAATACAGGGAAAAGAGAAATTGAACCAGAGACAGAATGAAAAGAAGGAAACATAGAAACCTCCAAGAATCTTTTATTGTCAAGGAATCTGCGGATGTAGGAGACGATACTAGCTCTGGTTTTGAATATCCTGCGAACCTCGACGTTCAACATTAGATCAAGATACCGCTGGCGATATCGAGTTTCCTGACAGCAAACCAAAAAGTAACATCAAACACTTGCCCGGATAGAAACAGAATAATAGAGAAGATAGAATCTAAAACACCAACGGGAAGTGATCCAACAAAAAAATAATGATACTCAGTAATGTAAGAGGCTACAAAAAGTTTATCGCCTTTGAAAAACTGATGTTACCTGATCTTTCAGAACGTATGCTTCAGGATTCCTCGTTTCACCTGGAACCCAATTTTCAGGTTTCTACGTAACAAAGAAAAAAAAGTGAAACAGGTTGATGTCAAACAAGGGGACTCTAAGCTATTATAACAAACACAGTGAATTTGCTTTACCTTTGAACTAACATTATCAGCCTTTCTGGGCATCATGTGGAGGCAATGGGACAGAACAATAAATGATCGTGGGAAGATACTCAACTCTCCCCTCTTAGTTTTTCCTGAAATTATAGTAATGTGAAAAGTGAAAAATGATGACGAGATAGGCTTAAGGAATGAATAATAGAAAAACATAGAGGCTACACAGACCTGGAAACCCAGTGACACCAACAAGATCACCACGCTTAGCATTTGCATGGAGCTTCGAAAACTCAGCTTCATCCAATCCTGACTTACTGAGACAAGAGAAAATGCCATACATCTAAGTAAATCTATTCAAGAGCATTAAGTTAATAAGAAAAGAAACCAAACTAAGCATTCACCTTGCATCAGCCATAACTTGGACCTTGAAATCTTCACCATGTAGATCATAGAAAAACAGCTTGGAAGAGGAAGATCGCTTGCTCATTAACCGCCCTAGCAAAGTTTAAAAAATGAATAAACATCCTTTTCAGCGTAAGGGCGAGTAGCTAAGAAAACTTAGGCAACGGCATTTAGCAGTTTCACATACCAGCCAGAGAAACTTCGACATCTTCAACATGATCCCCATTGTTTAAACTACCATACTTCTCAATGTATTCAGGAATGGACATTGACACAGCAAACTTGTGAGGGTATGGATTCTCCCCCTTAGCCTTCTCGGCCGCTAGATATTTCAATCTGTTCTCAAAGTATTGCTACAAAAGAAAACAGAAGCAAAAAAAAAAGAGCACTTGATTCATACATACACTTATAGCAGCATTGCATAAGATAAACGATAAATTATGGAACTGATTATATACCGTCGGATCCATATCCTCATCATCTGCTGCTACTGCCTTCTGGCTGTGGGAGCTTACCCTGGGAGCCTACATCAAAGAAATGAAATCTCTTAAGAATTTGAAACTGTGGAACATGATAGAGTTTTGCAAATTTGTCTCGAGGGTCAAATCATATGCAAATACCCAACCCAATTCTCCATACCAAGAGAATCAATCTATGAACATTTCCCCAGAATATACAGTATGTTACGAATCAGATGAAATCAAATAAGAGAGCTTACTTGTTTAGC